TATATATATATATATATATATATATATATATATATATATATATATATATATATATTGTATATTTGTTATTAAAGTCCGAAATATATATTGATTTTTGATAATATCCAAAATATAATATCATATTTATAAGATTTCGGATTATAATTAGACAAAATGGACTATGTTAAAGCAATAATAGACAAAATATATATTTCATTTTACTAAAACATAGATGCAAGCGGCCACCTTGCAGTGCGGCGGCCGCATTCTTATCTAGCCTAACAGATACCAATTCATACGACATAGATCTATGCACCCGGTATAACTTTGTTTTTGAACTGTTGTATAGGTTAGGCTAGATAAGAATGCGGCCACCTCTTATGTTCATACTAGATTAAATTTAATAAATACTTAAATTTTTTAGTTTTTTCATAAAAACAATAATTTTCCATAGAATATTTTTTTATATTTTCATAATTTATTAATTTAAAATAAATGTCTTTTAATTATATTTTTTTGCTTAACTTAGAACAAATAAAATTTATCTTTATAAAATATATTAATTTATGTAATGTTTCGAATGTTATCTATTATTGCAAAAAAGTGGTTTCATTTAGCGAAAATTAGGATCGTTTAATTCGGACTTCTTTGTAGTTGCTCTCTCTGGTGTATGTGTGTGTGTGTGTGTGTGTGTGTGTGTGTGTGTGTGTGTGTGTGGTGCGTGCGTGGTGTGTAAAATTTCACGTGTAAATTTCAATAAACATGTAACAATATCAATGGTAATAATTTTTTACTGAATGCTATTTTATAACACATTAATGAATATAAAAAAATATTTAGATAATTTTTTCAGAACAAATGAAGAAAAGAATCATGGATATATGCTGAATTCGCTGAATATGATATTTAGTTCCGAATTCTGAATGATTGAATCGCGAAACGTTTGAAATCATAGAGGGAAAAGATAGGACTATGAACATCGATCGAGCATTCAAGTCGCTATCTTGCGGCGTTTATAAGCATTACGAATGCCGTGGTACGAAATCGAAAAATGGCCGTTTCATCGGTGTTTGACGAGATCTAGTACAGCTTTCATGAACATATTCGATATGTCTTATTCGTGGTGAAGAAAGTGATTATAAGACTAAAACGAATAGTGTAATATTAATACAAAAAAAGTAAAATTACGAACGATCGATTGACCGCCTTTGAGTGAAAGAAACTGATAGGGTCGGAGGGGTGGGGTAGGGTGGGGTGTGGTAGGGTGAGAGTGAGGGAGGGTGAACGAAGAGAAGGAGAGAAAGGGATACGAAAGGGTGAGGTGAAGATAGAAACTAGCGGGAAGGGGAAGAAATAGTGGTAGAAAGAATTGAGGAAAAAGGGGAAAAGAAAAGAGATGCAAACGAGAAGTGCGGGATCGTGAAATAACGCACTGCCTAAGAAGAGTTTGGATTGTGTAGAAACGTCATCAACGATTACCAGGCGACATTGTTAGTGGAAATGAAATATTAATCATATTTGGATTGGTTGGTGCGTGCGCGAAGAAGATAGGAAAGGCCATACATATAATAAAAAGTTCTGCAATGAGTTTTTAAAATCAAAAAAGCAAAGCTACATTTTTTTCTATAGTTGTACTTCCCTTTTTAATTTATAGTTATTAGATTCGATCTTGTTTGATTTTATTCATAATAAAAATTAATCTAAATTAGGATATATTAGCAACTTGTATAAATTTTTTCTTGATAGTTATTGCGGCTGCAAAATAATATAAATCTATGAACGATTAGACTGGAAAAGAAAGAACTGAATATGACACTAAATGACGGGTCGAACGTG